AATGAAATGAGACGTGTCCCTGGTGAAAATCTCCAGATGGAGGATTCCCGCGGAAATCCAATGGGAATTCATGTGAATTCATATAAAATATAAAAGATCCATGCGGTTTGTGAAAATTCATACGGGGAATCCGCGTGGATTCCTACCTAGAACCTGAGTTTTCGGCGGAAATCCTCAGGCCGCAACCGTGGGATTCCATATGGATTTCCTGTATGAATTCCTACCTGGTTTTTTTTCCCCCCCCAACAAAGATAGCATCTGATGATGAACTTGAGACGGTCTTAAATATAAAATCCGAATGGCGGCCGTACGGACGTAACACATCTTGTTTTAAGCACGACGTGAGCACTCATTTAAATTGCGAGCAAATTTTAATTGAAGTCGATTGATAGTTTTCCTCGGGGTCGGTGTAGGATTAAGATCGGAGATCGAGGCTCGTCTCGGAGGTAGGTGAATCGGCTTGGCTGGAATTTTGAACGAGAGCGAACGACGTTCGTAGTTTCTCGTGGTATTCTCGAGGCCGGAGGACGTGCGCTTGCGAGAAGCAAGAGAGAAAGAGAGAGAGAGAGAGTGAGAAGGGGAGTGGGGAAGGAGAAAGATGGAGAGAAGGCAAGCCAATGGAATGGAATTCAGCAACCAGTTAGGCATTCGGTTCTAGGATAGCGAGCTCTCCTCTCCGGAAGGTATAAATCGCGGCCGTTTGCGCAGAGAATATATTCGAGAGAAAGATGCCTTCCGCCTTCCCTTCATCGTCTCGTCGTCGTCGTACCCGAACGACGTGCGCGGGTTTCTCTTTCTTCGTCCCGCAAGATCCTAACCCCGTGCATGCTTCTTTCCTTCCTCGTATCCTTCGCGATGACCTTTTGTTTTTCGTCCGGCTAGAAACAATTTTAGGCGTCTCGCACGGTATGCGACTGTCGCCGGGGAGTGCCTTTTCTCGTTCTTACGTTCCGCGAAGCCGAGAAAGAGAAAGAAAGAGAGATGTCCTGAGCATCGTATGATCTCGGAGGAGTAGGGAGGGGGTCATCGTCAGATTCGCGGGGGGAAACGATCGCATAAGCTCTGGCGAGATGTGGAAAATCGGAAAGCACCGATCTGCGTTAAACGTATGATGAGTTCACGATCGCTTCGACGAGAATTTCCATCAGCAAGAAATTCCTCGACTCGCGCGTTTCTCTTTACCATCTACGTTTATTTCGTCGCATGGATCCCGAAAGTCAACTATGAGAAAGGAAGAAAAGAGGGCCGAACGGCCGTCAAAGTCCGTCATTGTTTACGGGATGACAATGTACATGGGAAGAAAAGACGAAACCGAAGCGGAGAGCGAATGATGACCTTTTGGTTCCGAAATCACTCCGCAAGATTTCCCCGTCGCAAATCCAAGTGATCCCGCGAAAAAGGGCAGAAGGAGGAGAGAAAAAAGTCCATTGAGGGAGAGAAGAATGCGCTAATCGGAAGTCGTCGGGGCGCTATTGTGGCGGCGAAAGAGAAGTCGGAAAAGTAGGAGGACCAGGCGACAAGCCAGGGGAAAGGAGGAGAGGGGGAGCCTCTTTCCGCGGAGCGGGCGAACCGGCCCGTACTCCTCGATACCATCTGCGTGCTCCCTCGACAATAATAGTATGGACCGAGAAATATGCGCACGAGGCGCCGTGGGTTATCTCCGACGTTTCGAGGGCGAGAAGGAAGAGAGGCACCGCACGGTGGTGTGTAGGGAGAGAGGAGAGGAGGCGAAGAGGAAGAGGGAGATATCGCGAGAGAATTCCGGCGAGGATGAGAACCAAGGGGGGCGGGAGGGGGGAAGGAAGGCTCATACTCTCTTCCCTCGCCCGGCGGGGGGGCGAGAGAGGGGGAGGTGCACATATTGGGGCTTCTCCATGGACGAAGCTTCGCGGTCGACACTCGCGAGGAGTGGTGGCGGTGGTGGTGGGGTACCGAGAGAGCGCACCGAGAGCGAGGTTCATTCCGTTGCCCTGCCGGACCCTGCTCTTAGATGATCGGATACACGGCTCTCTGATGGGGCCAGTAGGGGCCCCAGAAATTCCAACAAGGACGGGGCATAATGCGCGACTCAAGGTCGGTTTTACTACCGACCGCCAGGACCCGGACGGGTGGAACCACGTTCAGCAGGGTCGTACCGTGACCTCGCCGGGTCCCTCCCTCCCCCCCTCCCCGTTGCCCTTCCATTTTCTGTCCCTCTCCCTTCCGCCTCGCATTTCTTCCTCTCCTCGTCTCCTTCGTTCTCCTGCCTCCTCTTCATTCGTCCTCCGCCCCCGGTCCCTCCGCCCGCGATCCTGGCCATTCTCCTCTTCTCCCTTCCGCCTCTCTTCTCACGCCCTCCTAGCCCGCGCGCACGCTATGCCACACCAATGGCAGGATCGCGCGCTCGTCCTGAGACGTCCTGCATTTCGCCGGATCGCACGCATGCCACGACATTCCGTGGTGAGTTAGAAGAGGAAGAAAAAAAAGAAGAGAGAGAGAGAGAGAGAGAAGAAAATGGAAACGCCCTCGAGGGTCTGGCCTAGCCCTCGATGAGGCAAACGTCGTCGGGGTGCGCGACGACGCGCGCTTGCTTGCAAGGAAAATTGGTTTAAATCTCTGATAGAGAAGGTTATCGCTGCGCGCTCCTCTCTATCTATTAATACTCTCCGTTCTGATAAAGGATGCTGAAAGGGTATTCATGAAGCGTTACCATGTCGTCAGCAGCGTGTAACAAACTTGTTTTACCTTTCCTTACGCGCGTAAAATTGGCACGCATGGCGGCAAAGAGTGTCGCCCAACTTTTGAGTCAGTATATCGACACGGACACCCTTCGATATGATGCAAAAAGTTCTGATATTTCTTCATCGAAACACAAGTGTTCTCCGCAAGTGATGGGCTATTCGGGCAGAATCAGAGTTCATTGATTGACTGAAATATCTATCCGTTGTCGTCTGTTTTTCCAGACGGTGAAATGGGTCCTTGCGTTTCCACAATTATTATGGATTGATTATCATGATGAAGACTGCTTAACGGCGAAACTTGGCGTAAAGTTAATTAAAGTCAAGCTTAACAGTCGTTGACTTCGAATGTTAAGGCGTTTATCCTGCAAAATTTTAAACTATTACGGGATTTATCTTCGGCGCGAGCTCCCGATCGCAACGATCCTGCCAGGGCTGCCGCAGATGAGGCCTGTCTTTTTACACTGGCCGTAAGAAAAAGGCGCTTATGGCCGCGCGAGAGGAGAAGCGGGAGGGAAAGAGAGGGGGAGGGGAGACGATGCGAATAAGCGGAGGAAGGAGCCTCCGGAACGAGAAAGAGGAAAAGACGACGGCGGAGGAGGAGAAGAAGAAGAAGAAGAAGTGGTAGAAGAAGAAGAAGAAGAAAAAGAAGAAGAAACAGAAGAAGAGGGGGAGGAAGAGGAGGAGAAGGATGAAGGTAGTACGTGGAGCCAGTTCGCGCTCCATCCCGTTGGGGAGGAAGGAGTTTGTATGCTCGCTCGCAGTTGCGACGGTGGGAGTAAAAGAGGGGTAGAAGGGATAAGAGAAGCCGGAGGAGGGCAGGCAAGACTGGCCGGATGGTGCAAGAAGCGAAGGAAGAGAAGGCAAAAAGAGGAAAAAAGATGGGATCCCTTAAAAATTGAGACCCACCGAAGGTGGGGATCGGAATTTCGGGCCCCGTACATCGGCCAGTCTCGAGGAGGCCTTCTCGAGGCGAAGATGAGGTGAGGAGAAGAGGAGACAGAGGAACGCGCGCACCGGGCGAGCGCAGGAGGGCACGAGGGACGAGAAAGAGAGAAAGAGAGAGAGAGAGAGAGATTGAGAGAAGGAAGATATAGGAAGAAGGGAGGTGAAACGCGTGCGAGAAAAAGAGAGAGAGAGAGAAGGCGGAAAGACCGGGGGAGAGAAGGAATAGGAGAAGAAGAGAGGAAGAAGAGAAGAAGAAGAAGCGGAGGTGGTGGTAGAGAGTGTGGATAAGGAGGAGGAGAGAGAAGAGGAAGAAAGGCATCTCGGACGGAGAAATAGTGCGCACAGTCCACCGTATACCCGGCATGGACCGTCAGTACACCCTGTGCGTACTCGTACCGGCGCAGCAGTACCGTAGCTACGTGGACAATTATCATAATCAGGCGCAGGAGCAGCAACGTAGGCAGCAACAGCATCATCCCCCTACGTATCAGCAGCACCAGCAGCAGCAACTGCAGCGCGCGATCCAGCAGCAGTACGCGCGCGAACAGATCTACGAGAACGTCGTGTCGCAGTATCGAATGAGAATGTGCTATCACAACGACTACGAGAACGACGAGCAAATACAGAGATTCTACTGGGAGCAATGCTACCAGCGCGACGACGCCGATACCACGGCATCGTCCTATTACTATTGCGAATACGTAAGGACGACACTACTACTACTACTGCCTACCACTGTCGGTATTATCGTCGCTTCTTCGTGGAGTCGCCGTGCTGATTCCTTTCGCCTCGGGAATCTCGATCGGGTGTGACGCGCAAACTTTAAACCTACCTGTGTGCGACACCGTGTTTCCTCGCGATGGTGAAATTGTACGTCCCTTCCTCCTCTCTCTCTCTTTTTCATTTTCTTTCCTATCTCGTCTTTCCTCTGTCTTTCCCTCCGATTAAAAAATATTTTACGAAATTCTGTCGCCACGACGGTTGTGATCCTTCACCACGAGACACGGCTGTGTATCGATGAGTATTTTACTGTTACCTCGCTCATTCCCTTCGATGAAGCGTTTCGACGAGGCGAAACTACACGCTTCTGCCAATTCAAAATTTAGCGACGGAACGCCAGTCTCGTAGCCGTTGCAGTTTGTAAAAATACAGTTGCCCGACACTCGAAATTGATTCGGCTCCCTCGAGAAGCGATATTTCGCTGTTCGTAGTGTTCGAAAAGTGACCAACGAGAAGGATTAGTGTTACATCACGGTGGATACGAAACCTGGTCACTGTCTCTCCCGATGGTGGGTCCCGAATAGATAATCTCAGGGTAAAACTCTTGTGTTGTAGGCAAAGAAGGAGATTTACGACATAAAACAGCAGAGGCTTTGTCTGGCGCAGGATGAGTACAATCACCTCAATAACGCCTTGTCTACCCTTGGCGCATCGCGCACAAGTTGTAAGTATTTCATTCGACGGAAAGCGACGATTCTCTCGACGTAATCCCAGTTACTTTAGCGAGAACGACTGGCCTACCGATTACTTCTAAGGTAATCGGCGATTAATACTCGTCAGTATTGATCGGTAATTTTCCGACTTCAATTTTTACGTGGAAAACAGCCCCTGTAGACATGTTTCATTGCCCTGTTGAGATCGACGAGCGTTCCGTCAGACGGGATAAACGAACCGTTGTAACTTTCTCGGGTCGATTAGGAGTGACGTAAAGTGCTGATAGACATCCGTGATTGACAGTGTGTTCCAGCTCGAGTTCCTTGAGTACCAAATACGACCCCGATCTGCTTAAATCCGACGTGGCGCTCGCCAGGAGCAGGGTCTCCCGGTTGAAGCGAGAGCTCGAGCAGATCCGCGCGGAGATGAACTGCACGCAGCGAGGAGTGGATACTCTCACCAGGTATTGCTCGCGCGAACGTTGGTTATCGTGTAACGAGATCAATTTCTACCACCGAGTTGTTTCGCGCCGGGACACGCGCCTGCGGTGCTCCTCTCACTCCCGTGATTGCCCTTTCGCAGCGTGGAGCAGAAACTGAGCGGCCACCACAGCGGTTGCTACAACATCACGGAAGCGCAGGCGATCATGACCGAGCTGCGTAACATCCAGAAGTCCCTGAGCTCCGGCGAGAAGGAGAAAGCCGAGCTGATGCAGTCGCTGGCGCAGCTTAAGGACGAGCTGACGAGGCTGCAATTCTGCGAGGGCAGCCCGGAGGCCAGCACGCTCAGTTTGCCGCAGGAGAAACTCAGCACGGCCTCGCAGACCGACCTGTCGGGCGAGCTCGTGCCGATCGGCACTCGACTCGCCGAGATGGCGCGCATGAGGCTGCAATACGACGAGGCGAGGAAGAGGATTCAGCACATACAGCAGCAGCTGGCGGACCTCGAGGAGAAGGTGATGCCGGGCCAAACGGAGAGCGACAAGGACAAGCTGCTGCTGTTCCAGGAGAAGGAGCAGCTGCTGCGGGAACTGCGCAGCATCACGCCGCGCACGAGGACGCAGCAGGACATGAAGAGGATCCAGTGCGAGATCCGCAGGCTCGAGCAGGACCTCAACAACGCGTTCGAGCTGTCGAACAAGACCATCACCGACCGCGTGCGGCTGCACGAAGAGAAGCAGGTCCTGCTGCAGCAGCTCAGGGACGCGCTGCGCTCGATGGCGCTGCTGGAGGGCCAGCTGAAGACATTGAGCGCCAGCACGCTCTCGGTCAGCAGCAGTTCCAGCCTCGGCAGCCTCAGCACCACCAGCAGCAAGGGCTCCCTCAGCTCCGGGCTGAGTTTCACGGACATCTACGGCGGGCCGCAGTGCCTGGGCACGAGCGGCTCGCAGCAGGAGCGACCGGTCGACATGGTGGACCTGCACAGACGAGTGGAGAGACTGCTGCGGGGTTCCGACCAACAGAACAATCTGATCGGCACACCGTCGCCCGGCAGATCCCAGCCGAGTCTCTCGCCGCGCTCGAGTCTGTCCAGCGTGAGCCCGCCGGTGTCGCCGTTGTACGAGAACGCGCCGTTAGGCCCGCCGCCGACGTACGAGCAGGTCGAACTGCAGAGGCGGCACTACCAGAAGGTGACGCCCGCGGCGATGAGCGCCGCCCAGCACCTCGATGGAAGCCAGCTGGAGGACCGTTTGACGGAGCTCAGACTCAGTCAGCAGCAGCAGCAAGGAGTCGTGCCTCAGGAGCAGGCCTCGTGCTCCTCCAACAGCTCGCAGGAGCGTCTGAAACTCGTGGTCGGTCCTCACCCGCCCGTCGAGCTGCAGTCGAACAACATGTCCCAGGGCAGCGGCCTCGGCAGGCCCGGCATGCCACCGGCGTCGTTGCCCCAGCAGCAGGAGCCGCCGCCCTTGTCGCCCATCAGCGAGACGCCGCCACCCACCGGGATCAGGTCGAGGGCCAGCAGTTCCGGCACCAACACCAGGTCCGTCTCCGCCGCGGTGTCCGACGAGAGCGTGGCCGGCGACTCGGGCGTCTTCGAGGCGTCCAATCGCAAAAGACTGTCCATCTGCGACGTGGATCCCTTGGCGTCCGGCGAGATGAGCCTGGAAACGGCTCAGGTGCAGATCAAGCTGAGGTGCGTTGCGCTTCGAGTATTCCTTTCTTCCGAGTCGTTGCGAATCGACCGATGCCGTCCCGTAGCCTTTCGTAGTGATGTGGTGAACCAGCCGTGTCGTCCCTTGCTGATTATTCGGCGAGAGGATGCTCCGAAGTAGCGGTAATGACGCACGAATATTCGGCCTGGTGCGAAATTTCCGATGGCACTGTATGCCTGGGGAAAGTGGCACGGCGTTAACGCACCGCACATTTATGGACGCACGAGTGAACAGAAATTTTACCTTATATTGACGTATGACGTGATATTATGCAGGGTGTTGTATGACATACTGTAGGAACTCAAGAAGAAGCATGTTTCGGATGTAAATTCAAGTAGAAAATATCCTATATAAACATGGGTCCGATTCGAAACAGCCATCTGCATGTGTTCAAAGCTTTTAAATGATTGGCCAATTTTTTGTAATATTTTTTTTCTTTTTGTTAAGAATGATAATTAAAGAAAGAAAGCATAAAGATTACAGAAATTGTTCGAACTGACGTCCTTCGGCGTTAATACACAGCACGGTGCGATCTAAAATGGATTGAGCAGCCGCGCCTTCCTCCTTATTTGCTCACATGCGTCATTAACACGCTGTATTAATTCAGCTCGAGTAATTTCACCTTCCTTTTGTACGCAAAACTTTCGGTCTTTATGTTAATTCTTTGGCTTCTCTTATCTGCGTCATGCAACGCTCTACGTATCGCTGGGATTCGCGTTCGTGTGTTCGCGAATAAGATTTTGAAATCTGATCGCGGAGTATGCGATTGAATTAAAATATATAATCGTATTCATCAGGTATTCAGTGAGCGACGGACTGCTTCACGTGGGCATCGAGCGTGCGAGGAATCTGGCCGCGCTTTTCATACCCAATAACGCGGAAGTGTAAGTTTTTCCAATTATATGCGAGTGATATGTTAGAAGTATCTATAAGTGATCGAGTATTTCTCAATGAAGCGCATTTGGAAGTCTATAAAGAGCGTTTATTTTTTTAACCAATGATGAATAATAAATGAAATATTTTGCACGTACAAATAGCACACTAAGAAAATACTGCTAATTTAATTACTCGGATTCGAGCCAAGCGGTTCTCCGAGAGATAATCTTTCGGTGTAGCTTCTTCCAAATGTCGATTGACTGTGTGTCGCCGGTTCACTTTAACTTTTACCCGTGGAAAAGCTCCAATCGTGTGCGCGCGTTTACACGGGGTGTCAGTCATTTATATTCCCGATTAGTTCCCGATGATCAACAGCGGAGAGTTCAATGTGCGCAATTATTGCCGGCGAGCAGCTCGTGCTGCTGTTCGCGAGTGTTTTTCATTTTCAAATGAAAACCGCGAGATTGAATGACTTGTTCGCGCGAAAACGTGTCTGTCGGGTAGCTCGGCTTGCGCTGTGCAAATGCACTCGCACTTTTGCCAGTAGCGGCCGGCCGTAATCGGACGATCTCGATGACCTGTCGAGTTAGCCGAATAGTTCGACCGACCGTTCCACTCGCGAGTCTCTCTCTCTCTCTCTCTCCTCTGCCGATGTGCCCGTGATTGAAATGTAATTATGAAATTCTCGTCGCGTGAACTTACGTCTGCTGGATCATCGACCGGCCGTTGCCTTCGTTCACTTTCGTTACGTAAGCCCGCTATTATCAGCGATATCATGTCTCGTAATTAGCTTTACGAGGCCTCACCCGACCGGAATTTATCCTTACGGCGCACCGCATTGTGTCCGGCCGGCGGCCGCAAAATTCGCGAAACAGTGCGACGCTTCGACGGATGATGAAGGACAGACAGATTAATATACAGTTACTCGCGAGCGTTTGATTGATGATCCACCTTTTGCGCGTGATACAGCGGTGGACTAACGTTCTCCGATTCCACTTCGATGAATAGATCGGAGGGAGGNAGAGAGAGAGAGAGAGAGAGAGAGAGAGAGAGAGAGAGAGAGAGAGAGAGAGAGAGAGAGAGAGAGAGAAAATCTCTCGACTCCTATCGGCTTCTGTTCGAGTAGTCGTTTAGAAAATAATTGATAGTGATGACGAGCAAATAAGCGGTTGTACGGCCTGTCGAAAACGAGAGAGAGAGAGAGAGAGAGCCCCATTTGCACACATCCCAATCGGACGGGGATCAATCAGATTAGTCAAATCGAACCTGACCCAATCTAACTACCAACCGATTTCGACCGATTCGTGTTTGTGTGTGTTGCACAGTTAGGGCGATAGTCTCAATTGACAAAAAAAAATCACTTTTTTACACGAGAGTAATTTCCCCTCTTCTGCACTTCAGATACATCAAAGCCGCATTGCTACCGATGCAACTGCCCGTCAATCACATGTGTTGCACGAAGCCGGTGGTGGACTTACGAAAACCGACCTTCGGCGAGACGTTTCCAATCGCCGTGCCGCTCAATAAACTGTACACGAAGACGCTGCAAGTGAATGTCTGGTGTACAAGCAACGAATCTGAGGAATGCTTGGTATGTACGCGGAGAATTCGCTCAAGGCTCCGGTTTCCTTGCCGTCTCTCGGCCGGGTGACGTCAGAAGAGAGAAAATGCGTGCTCAAAATTCTGAAAAAAAATGCCGACATGAAAGTATATATTCATAAAACGACTATTCGCAATCGATCGAACGTGGTCTCTCTGGAGTGGTTTGGAAATTGCTCCTTTGTTTCAGCTTTGGTCAATAAGTACCCATAATAAAGATCAACGTTAGAAAATCACGTGGTTTATAAACGTGTTCAGCCGTGTGCCGCGTTAATTGTATGACTATATTGATTATTACGGTAAAAGAAAAGTTCTCGGAGTATTTGGAAAAATCCGCCCGAACGATTGTAAAGTGCCGTTTTATGAATATATCTTTTGATTTCGATGTATCTCGCGAGAATTTTGGTCGGTAAATTTTTTTACTTCTAACGTCATCAGTCAAGATGACCACGGCGAGGGATCGGGATCCTTGAAAGCTTGGTATCCTCTCGAGAACTTACAGACGGAGCTTTATGCTCTCGTCAGATTTTATTACAAAGCTGATCTTGATATTATGAAATTGTCAGACTTATGAAGTTTATTCTAACGTGAACATCGTAATTCGATTACAGGGTTCTGCGCAAGTCTCGTTGGCAGACTTCAGCCCAGAATCTCCTAGCGTCAAATGGTACAACATACTCTCCTTCCGTTTCATGCAACCGTCTGACAGTCCTAGCACTAGCAGCAGCAACAACAATAACAACAACAACAACAACAACAACATCAACGTGTCGACGAGCGTCAGGTCGCAAGCCAAGCACGACAAGCAGGAGTCAGATATCTCGGTGTATAGGAACACGCAAAACGCGAAGGAGGAGAGCAGCGACGAGAGCACGATCATCAGTTCTCAGACGTCCACCTTGACGAGAAATCAAGGGTGCGACGAATTGCAGACCGCCGTGTCGCTGAGATTGGAAGAGCTGGCCAATTGTCTGGGCAGCCCAGAGGAGGAGGACGAGGGCGGAGGCAGCGGTAGCGGAAGCGGGAGCGGGGACAGCAACAACGAGGAAGACATACCCGTGGACTTCATGACGGATGACAACGTCCTGGAAGACGTTTTGGAGCACGAGGTGCGTCACATCGTCGGGGAATTCTGTCTCGAATTCGCTCTTCCGATCACGAATCGTTCTGATTTCCGCGTCTCTTTGCTTTTGTCTTCAGGAGGACGAGGAGTTGAACGACGAAACGAGGCAGACGGAGGACAAGGAAACGAACACCGAGTGCGTGTTCATTCCGGAGCAGGGCAAGCAGAGGAAACTGTCCGCGGCCGGCGTCGCGCCCGGCGCCGTTCACGACGACAAGAACTCCATTGTGATCAAGAGGAGTCAGACGTTCTCGCCGAGCGCGGCCGTCAGTAAAAATCACTATATTTGTCGGGTAAGTTTTCCACGGATCCTCCCTTTTCACTCCTCTTCCAGGCGATTTCTTATCGCGTGACATCACAGCTCAGATCATCATTCCAGAATAATCAAGTTACGAAGAATTTTTGTTGTTAACCACCGAGAGATAGGACGGACTTTGGAGAGCCAAATCGCAGTTGTTTTCTAGCGATATGTTATTTTTAAGTCATTGCGAGAGGATATATTGGATAATTTTTGTTATTTATTATTAGCTTCACATAAAGATTTTTGCTGATATAGCGGAAACACGAATTTTCAGATCGTCCGTATAGCCTGTCTCCGGCTTATCGCCTTCCACTGTTATTTTTCTATCTCGTCCTTTACAGCTTAATCGCAGCGACAGCGACAGCAGCATGCCCCTTTATCGCAAGGGCGGGCCTTTCCAACGGAACTCGGTGGAGAGACGTTCGCTGCGATGGCGCCGGCCGTCCTCTGCCCTCAGCTGCAAAACCACCTCGAAGAAATCGTCTCATCTACCGCCCACAGCGAGGACATCGTTGGACCTCGAATTAGATCTCCAGGCGCAACATGCCAAACTGAATAATCTCCAGGACGAGCTGATGAGGTTACGGGAACTGAAGCAACGGTTGGAGCAAGCGCGCGAGAAGGGCGATGCCGATCTGGCGACTTGGCTGTTGGAGGACCACAAGTTCCAAAGTCTCATGGCGCAGGCTGAGAGCGGCAAGAACGGCAGGAGCGCCGAAGAGAAGAAAGTGGATAAGATGCTGAAGAAAACGTCCAAGGAGATCTACAAGCTGAGGAAAACGAAGGTTGCGAAGGGAAAGCCCGATATAATCTCCTTCAAGTGAGTAGCGGATTTCCGGCTTGGTGTTATTCCGAGTATCACTCTAATTTCCGATAATCGAGCAAATCAGGATAAATTGTTCCCGTTTTCAGGGAGAAAATGGCCTTCTTCACGCGCGTGAATTCGAACGTTCCTGTTCTGCCGCCCGAGGACTTCGGGCCGGACGGCAGTATGTATCCCACGACGGCACAGGCGCACATGCACAGGAGGTACGCGTCGGAACCGGTCACTACTACCGCTCACAATAGTTACGCTGGGAACTCGACGGCGCGGCCGAACAGCGTTCCCAGCGGCAGTCCCGCGTCGTCCTCGAAGAGTGTCACGATGGACCGGAACCCGAGCGGTATCGTCGTATCGACGAACGCCGACGAGGACGTCTCGGCCGTCCACAACGCCACTGGCAAGTCTGTGTCCGCCAAGGGTCGACCGGCGACGACGGAGTCGAACGCCCCGAGTACGGAGAACGGCGAGGACGAGAGCGTCAAGTCCATCGAGAAGAACAACGGTAACGGGGAGCCAAAGAGGTACGAGTACGTTGTCGATCGGGTTTTGGGCGTGGAGGTGTGAGAACCGGAAGGGGAAGGAGGATCGTCGAGTGGAAGTCGATGGCTCGAATCCGAGACTCGCGCGAACCCTGCGACGTCGGTAAACCACCGAGGAAAGAAACGGTCTCTTTCTCTCTCAGGCCGGCTCGAAGCCGGGATGCACGCGAGAAGGAGGAACCGGTGTGCGAGATCGCAGCGCGATGTGGAACCAGCGGCTTCCTAATTCTCAGTATCAGGTGCCATGGATACGGATTCTCACTTAGCACATTTTTATACCCTTCCTCCACCGAACGCGATCGTTGCTTTATTTGCGGCGCGTCTGTGCCAATGCTGCGTGCTATAGAAGCGGTCCTTCCACGGGCGTGACGTATAGCGAGGCGATGCGAGCGCATTGTGTGTGTGTGTGTGTGTGTGTATGTGTGTGTATATACAATACGTTATTGTGTGTTTATATATAATGTGTATATATGTACGCATGCAATAACGCGAATTATTTAAAAAGGAAAACAGTGCACTACTCTCCAATATAGGTTATTTAATTTCTCATTTTTTTTTCTCTCTTCAACCCGACTCGTCACGGGTTTCTGTTTCGCGATTGCGCGATTGTGCGCGCGAGATTATTGCGACTATCGAGAGATTATCGTCGTTTCGTTTCCTCTGCGTGTGCGTCGGAGCACATAATGACCCCACCGAGCAGCTGGTCTGCAACTCGAAAATTTAATGAAAAGTGGTGAATGGGGGAGGGGGGGGGGGAAGTTGCGCCGAATTGAAGAGCTCATTTCCAGATCGAAATCTATATTTTTTATAAAATTATTTGCGTCTTGTGAAGCTTTTTTTTTTTCAATGTGGACATCTACTCGGCGACTTATTAACGGAGTCTCCTCCGTCATCTTTTAAGAATAAAAGATTTTGGGAATAAGCGCTTCAATTTCGTTCAGACCTGGGCGATATTGTCGTCTTATTGAGTCGAGTAGATAAATAGCTTTATCGCGTCTCGTCGTTTCTGCTGTAAATTTATTTCGGTACAAATTATTTTGCTGCAAAGTCTATTTTCTAATATTTGCCGTTATTACGGATTTGTTCTGATTTAATAGTCAGTTTATCAATTTCTTCCCGGCTACATATGCAGGAAAAGATAAACATACACATTATCTATCGATGTCTATATCTATATTACATTATTCATGTGATGACCGTTCGTAAAAAGCTATTTATGACTCGTTCGGTATAACGCATTTGTTTGTTTCTTTTTTTGGCTCTGAACTCCTCAAGAATGCAGCACATCCATGCGTTTTACAAGTGTCCTTCATATTTCGCATCGATTTCGGCGACGCGAATCGTTCAACATAACGTGCCTTATTATTGATGAATTCATCGCGTGGAAGAAACGCCGCAAGTACGTAGGATATCATGTGTATATTGGAGGTACACTGATATATTGACACTTGCGTGTTGAAACAATGGGGATACTTTGTCAACCGTCGAGGGGGGTGGTTTTGTGACAAAAGTAGTAAAATATGACGTTTCTCGTAAGAAAATGTGATTCTAAATTACCGACGGTAATATTTATATTGGGCTATAAATTCTATCTAACGAGAACATATTGTTTTATACACAAATTGTCAAACTACTTAAAATTATTTCCGAGTATTCAATTAAAATAGCGATGTAGATTTCTAACTACTTTTCTCACTACTTTCATACTCAAAAGATGAAACAAGAAGACTTCCTCGTCGGTTGTACACGCTGTGCCTTGCGTACCTTACTATTATAATTACTTAAACGATTTTCGACATTATGCGCATATTTATATGGCTGAAAATCGTACGAGTAACTCTGATTATAATGATAAGGCGTGCATGACGCAATGAATGTTCGTTTGCAGAGCGGTTTGAACATTTTTGTTCGATGTGTTACGTAAAATGAGAACTTATCATATGCCTCGATAGAAGAATCGCCGAAGCATTGATTGCGCTATGATGATTCGCCATATTGCGCTGCTTTGTTGAAACATTACTTAAAAATTGATTGCGTAGTATTTTATCAGTATTTAATAAACCAAAAAAATCAGTATTTTCACCCCCTTTTTTTTAATATACTCACATAATTACAGCATTACAAATTCCATGCGAGATTCCGTCATACAATTTCGTAAATATTTTTCTATTATCCTAAGAATTACTTAAAAAAAAAAGCTCCTATCGAGTGTCGGCTGTATTCTGAATTGCGTCGAGGAAAACGTGTTTTCGTTCTGCAAACAAATTCTATTATCACGATTCTCCGAAAACCCTTCGGCATCGTGCCGTACATCGCAATTCTCTGATGTACACAAGACACGTGTAACGAAGCGTTTTGGCGAAAGCGCAACAACAAACAACCCGAAAATACTCATCGCCATTTCCCATAAGTAAGCGACGACGACGTTGTGACATGATAATACAAAGTAATCACAGCTGTTTTTTTTTTTTTTTAAGTTCAAGGTGCGGGCGCACCTTTGATGCTAATGTAACACGGTGGAGAAATTACTCCTTTCTAAAGATAGATTGTCTTGGTTGTAGTCTCGGTGAATTACTATTCCATTAGAATGTTGTTTCTTCGGTTTTCCCCTCTCTCATTAATGCAACTCGATGAAAAAGAGAACAGGATTTAGATTGACCATGGCTGGTACTGATTAGTCTCGTTTGCTGTGCAATTGACCTTAAAAAGTGAATCCTGAAGGTGTTGTTCCGCTCGAGAAACAGATCGTTCGTTGACCGCGACAGGTAAAAAAATATAAATCATGTCCAACTCGTCGGAAAAAGAGAAAGATAAGATTTCGAGAATTAAGATCGACATCGTCTTTAACACTGGAACGGCCGTCATCTTATTGACGGTTCTTTTAAACAAACCATTTTTCGGGCGGTCAAAGATCTAACGATTAAAAGCTTTATTATCAATTAAAAGCTTTATTATCAATGCACCCTAACCAAATTTGATGATGCCTATATGGTGTGAGAGGCGGACGGGGGTTTATTGCTTGATTTGGAATATGAATTTTCTATTTATTTATTTATTTATTTTTTTATTGCGTTTTTATATCCGAAGTGAGCTCGGCCGTTCTAATGTTAATATAATAAAGAAAAGAAATGTTAAGATCGTTATTAGTGTCGCTGATAACTTCATAAGAGGTATCACCAAGATAACGGATGCCATATTATGTGTATATCGAGGAGTAAACGGTAAATTTTTAAAGTTGGGGAAGGTGGGGGTTAGCGAAAAAAATATTGAAAAGATTTGTACATACTTTTGTACATACGCATCTCAACGAATATATATTTACGCGTTTATATATAATTATATAAGTAATACAAAGAATGAGCTCATTCTTCGTATTATTTACAGATGTATTTTTATCGGTGAAACGTGCGTTCGATTTTACAGAGCGTCTCGTAAACCTGCATCGTTCGTAGAACGATTACAAAGTTGAAGAGCGAAGAAATAAGTATATTGCGTGTGTGTGTGTGTCGCGCGCGCGCGTGCGACTGAGTATGTGTGTAAGCCGATATCAATATATGTAATTGTTTTCTCACCCAAGTGCCGGATCTATTACGCTCATGTATTTAATTAATGTTACAAAATATTGTATTATTTACTACCGCATAGCGCCTTTCTGTATCAAAGTAGGTATATAATGATAACATCGATAACGGGGATGGCGTTTAATAGTACCGCTAAGAAATGCTAGACGATAAACGATAATTTCGTAAAAAGACGTATTTCACGCAAAAAAAAAACATACACGTATACACACCATTACACGAGACACGCAGGCCCCACAGGTACAACTACAATCACAGTTTGATTTGTAAGTAACGGTTCGTATGGTAACGATTAAAAGGACAAAATATAATATCCTCTTGCCACGTTCGTTTGTGTGTGCTATACGTTCCCCTCTACTACTATAATAAGAATTCTGAACGAAGTGATTTTAAATAACATCAGTTTTATCAACATCGAAATTTCCAAACGAAAAAGTCGCGCTAGCATGCACACAAGTTTCTCGGATTTATCGGAGTTACAGTAAGAAAAGCATGAAAGAATTAATTCTTGAATTATAATAAGATACAACAGGATGTGAATCAAATAAAATTGCTCTTATGTCGTAAGCAATACTCAATTTCGCAATACATCTTCCATTTAATGCTACTCAACCAAACTTTTATGTCTCAATATTTTTATAGAAGGAAAAATATATCATGCGCCAGATGCCTGAAATTCAACTCAATTTTCCTTTCCCCCCACGCAATATCAATTCGATACGGAACCATTCATTTTAACTTCTTTCCTCACGATTTTGTCAATATCAATTTTACGATTATTTATTGCCTGTTCGAGTAGAAAAGTGCTCGGGACAATTTTACAAATGTATTAAATCGATCACAAATGTCATTTTATATTTATTTTTATTTGAAACGTATAACGTACAAGAATTCATGCGTTTTCTCGTTTCTGACATCATCGAACAAGGACAGTTGCAACGAGGGACCAGGATAGAAATTTTTTACATTTCAATATAATAAATTAAATATATATTGCATTTTCTGAAAATCTCAATAACAAAGAGAGAAGAAGAAGAAATTACTGTAAGCATACTTTCCAAATGGTAGAGTGACATTAGAGACTGTGACGTTCCTAAAGTCAATATGGCGATCTTCTGACGTCACTTTGCCACTTGGGACGACCTCATGACTTGCGCGTCACTTCGCGCACTTTGACGCTAGAGACTATCCGTGCCTATTGATTGCCTAACTCGTGGTAAAAAATGCGCAAAATCTCCGTCGTAAAAAAGTTCCACGAGGGAGGGGGCGTCGGCGAGAAGCATCGGCAGTTGATTTTCGATCGAGTCCCCATCAAGGCGCGGCGGGAGGAAGTACGGACCGATTCAAAAATCGTCGGTGGAAACGTTCGGACATGGCCGCGGATTCGGGAAAAAATGACTGTATATAAATTTTATCTCCATATACCCGTATATAATCATATATAATTATATATGTCCCACGTCTAAAAAATGCTGTTACACGAATATAATTGAAGTAAATGCTTACGTTTATAGTTACCCCACGGTGTAAACATTTAATTGAATCAAACGATTTTTTTCCATTTTTCATCCAACAGTTTGACATTTTTATTTCGTGCGCACGTATATAATTATATATACGTGGCCATATAGAGACAAATTTCATATATAAAACATATAATTATATATAATTTTACATGATTGTGTACATAAACCTTTTTTCCCCGGTTTGAATCAGGCTATCACACGAGCTCACCCTCATTTTTACCGAGTGTTCGTGATTTTTTTTCTCTTATACGTTAATCGAGCCCGGCAACGGGTTCTCATCTTGGCTGTGTAAGAATTAAACGACAATTAAAACGCGACCCTCCGGTGTGAGAGATGGCCTCGTCCGTCCGGATGGATGCTGCTACTATCCGGGCAAATCCCGCCTACGCTGCGCGAAGGATCCTGCGCGCCTTTCGGCGGATAGTCAACGTACGTTGCAAAGGTGCACCGCGAATGTTGAACTGCGAACGACATGGAAGCACCCGAGTGCGCCAAGGTGCGAGCGCGGAGCGTTCTGAATTTGCTGCGGGATTGAAGCTCAGTGCCGCGGGCTGATAATGACGCGGGTGCCGCTCGTTTTCGCAGAAGGCACGATGAGTATTGCAAAGACAGAGAGAGAGAGAGAGAGAGACAAGGTACACGCTGGTCACGGGGTTCTCATCGAACCTGACCAGTGACTGTTTGCCTTCGGGAGTCTCCGATTCTTCCAGACTGGATTCTGTGATCCCTAGTCCGCAATCTTGCTTCAGGACGTAAGCGGTGAACGAACTGACTAACCACGAACGATTATTTTTCCGACAAACGACGCGTGGTTGGTCAATTCGACGACCGTTCACGTCTTAAGGCAAGATTGAGGACAAGAAGGTAACCGTGCCCGCCAACAACCGCCGGCTAGGTGATGCCGTCGTTGCGCGGGTACAACATATGGCAGAAAAGCTGCGGAACGAGGACGCACCGGCCCGACACACGTCGCCGATCACGGAAGATTACGGCAGGCCTGAAAGCGCGCGGTTGTCGCGCACGAGGTGATTCGCGTGGTGTTCCTCTTTCGCGGCAAAATGAGATTCACCACGGCCGAGTACACGAACATGATAATCACGTCCGGGATGGCGAGGGAGAATTGTCAGGCCGCGAGGGACACGGGATGCATCCTGTCGTCGCAGGAAGAGGACGCGTGCTGCGGCCGATGAGAACCCCGGCGTGCAGCAAACGCGTTCGATCTCCTGCGAAAGCACGCGAAGCACGAACCTCGCGCGAAAACGGCTCCCCGCACCAGCCGTACAGCCACCGGTGTGAAGTCCCGCGACTTCCCGAGGGAAACTTGGGACTGCGTGTCCAATTTTGCCAAGGTATCTCGTCGTCGCCTCCTCCTTCTTCTCGTCTGCGTTAAAAGTGATAAGAGACGAAGATGTATCAACGTGATATGTGCGATGTAGGATAGTGTGTGGAAATCCTTGCTTTAAAAACATATTACAGGAAATTATTAGTGTTATTAAATATCAGGACTCCTGGTCCCTCGCTGCAAATGTCCCTGTTTGGTGACGTCAGAAGCATTTATTTCGATTCGCGTGTAATTTGTAAACAACAGTAATTTCTCCTTGTGGACGTATGATTATATATATATATATATATAAGTCGACCCAAGGGCCACTGAAAAGTATGTAAATGGAAAGTATCCAGTATGGCCCATTTAAATACACTTAAACAGCGATGAAGTAACAAATTCTACTCTGTTTCTGCCGTTTCAGTCCGCTGTTATCGTACTCTATTAGCGGATGTCCTGTTGCATTTTTGCCAACGGCAAGCTGCCGACAAACTTCGCAGCAGGCGAGATCCGCTCCCGCAGATTTGGCTGTCTCAGAATCGCTCAACGTTCCCGTCTCTTTCAGATCGGCCCGTACTTTCTCCCGCCGAATCTTCACGGAGAAACATAAGCCGATTTCATTGAAAATCAGCTGCCAGTGCTCCTCGCGGACGGTCTCTCTCGGCATGCGGGCGACTCCGATTTTCCAGCACGACGGAACTCCCGTGCACTTTTGCCGCAAAGTACGCGATAGCTTAGACGCACGTTATTCGGGAAAGTAGATGGCTCAAGGTGGCCCAATTTCATAGCCGGCACGATCATCGGATCTCACAGTGCACGATTATTTCATAGGGCGCTACGTCAAAAGTTCCATTGTGGAACGGCGTGACGATAAGGAGGATGAAGCACGCGTAGCGATTCGCACGGTTTTCAACGCCATTACGCCGGAAATGCTGCACATGGCGACGCGTAATATCATACAAGGAACGGGCCTTTGCATACGAGAGGGCGCACGGGACATCGAACAATGGTTGCATTAAATCACAAGAATGGACTAGATCGGGGAAACCACTAAAAGAAAAAAGAAAAAAAAAGTGTCACGCGGTCTACTGCAAGATGGTGTGGAAATGGTAACCTCTGTATTTTCACCCCCCCCCCCCCCCCC